ATAGAAATTGCTCTTAGGTATACTCACCCAGCAAAGGGCAAAGATATTCTTGTAGCCATTGTGTTGCATTTAGCTCTTAAATGCAACTTAAAATAAAAATAAATAAATGCAACTTAAATTTAAAATAGTTTAAGACATTAGAATAATTTGATATATAGAAATTCTAAACCACTAAGAGGCTTTGATACAGAAATAGGGTCAAAAACCAACTGGTTTGAATCTAAGCTTATCACAATTCATCTAACTGATACTGTTGAGTCTTTGTACCTATTTGTCTTTTGCTCTGTACAGTATGACATAGTTTGTATCGGGAATTAAAATATTTGGGGGGGACTTTTAGATAAATTCTTATATTCACATAAAAACTACAAAAACAGGTAAAAAGTAACTTCTCATTTATTCACTCATTCAGTTATATATAAACATCCAAGCATTCATAGTGATAATCAAAACAGTGAAAGTGAAAAAAAATTCATTTGTTCAGGTGAGATGGTTAATTCACAAAATCCTTACTCTAAAAATTGGTAATTAAAAAAAGAGAGAAATAAATATTCAAAGTACATCTGCCTTTCTAAAAGGAACTAGGTTTCAGGATAACCAATTAGCCCAGTTGTGAGGAAAATACCGAGTTTATAGAAAAATGACAGCTAAAACATGTAAATGGAATTAGAGAATTAGAAATGTCACCATTTTGAAATCCCTAATAAAGTAATCAATTCAGGCAAGGACCACTAATAAATGCTAAAACAACTAGGTAGAATGGATAACAGAACTGAATACACACAAGATGCAACATTTACCCTATAGGCTACTGGCTTGACCCAAGGGAGAAAATAATGGAGGATATAAGAAGTGACCACCATAACTCTGCAATCATTTTAACATCACTAATTATGGGATATGAATTAACACCATGACCTATAAAGAATTCTTAGGAAAAAAAGTTGAACCTGAATCCAGTTAAGCCTTGCAATGGGGTGAATATTTATATCCTCCCAACATGCATACACTGAAATCTTAACTCCCAAAGTGGTGGTATTAGGAGGTGAAGCCTTTAGGGAGTGATTAGGTCATGAGGGTGGAGCCTACATTTTTGGAATTTGTGGCCTTATAAAAGGGACACCAGTGAGTGAGCTAGCTTCTTCCACTAAGAGAGGACACAACAAGAAAGGTCAATCTAGGAACCAAGAAGCTGGGTCCAAAACCACCAGTGATGCTGAAATTCCTGGAATTCCCAGCCTCTCCAACTGTTGAGAAATACCTTTCTGTTGTTTATAAGTCACCCAGTGTACGGTATTTTTGTTATAGCAGCCCTACCAGACTAAGACAATGACTTTAGAATTCATTTGCCATTAGCAAAAAATACAGAGGACAGAATGAAAAGTTAAATAACACCATGAAAGCAATATGAAAATTCCAGAATGGGAACATTGTACAGGACAATTTACTGATTCTTCAACAAGTCTATATCATTAAATAAATAAATAAATGGAGGGGGATACTCTCTAGTTTAAAAGAGTCTTGAGATAAACAACTAAAGGCAGTGTGTGTTCCTTGACTAGGTGTGGGTTCCTTGTTCAAGCTAGTTTCTTTGTTCAAGAAAGAACAAAGTTCTTTCTTTCTAGGTGTGGGTTCCTTGTTCAAGGTATTCTTGAACAAAGAAACTAGCTCGAATAAACCAACCATAAAAGACATTTCAGGATAATTAAAGAAATCTAAATGTGAACTGGGTAATAATGATATAAAGAAACCATTTTCTTATTTTTGTTTCACGTGATAATATTGTAACTATATAGAAAAATGCTTTTTTTAGAGGTCTATGCTGGAGAAGGAAGGGGTAAAACGTCATTTTATTTAATACACTTTAAAACACTTAAGCAAAAAAGAAATGCTATAAATATAGCAAAATATTACAATCTTGTCTATCAATGGATGTCATTAATCTCATCTTTCTACTTTTCTCAAAGTTTTCAAATTCCATAATTTTATAATAAAATTTTATATTATAATAAATATAATATAAAATATTATATTAATAATATTAATATAAAAATATAATAATATAATTATATTATTAATCCTAAGTTATATCGGTGTGTATGCTTGAAATGTCTATCTCAAACTCCATGATATTAAAACATAAGAAATGTATTCTCCTCCAGCAGTTAGATAATCAAAGAGTAACTATAGTTTGTCACAGAAAATTGCTTTGTAAAATGAACTTTTTCAATCAAAACAAGATTTTTTCCAATAGACTCCAACCAGTGGTTCTCAACCTGTGGGTGGTGACCCCTTGGTAACAATGAAAATACATCACAGCATTAGGAAGGTTGAGAACCACTGCTCCAACCCATCAGTCAGATTTGTCATACCAAAGAGAATAAATTCTAGTTTTCTAGTGTTTTTCTAGCCTATTTATGACTATTCAATAGAAAAATGAAAAGGTCAAAGCATTGGGAATAAAAGTTCATCATTCCTGAGTCTCATCCAGCATGCCAAATTGAGAGGTATATTCCCATCAATTTTCAATCACTCAAGACCAATGATCCATTCCTTTTAGACCATATTTTTCCTGAAGCCAGCCTTCTGACTATTCACTTTGAGGATACAAGCCCCCAAGAAAGTAAGCAAAATGAGGAAAAGATTGCTTAAAATTACCTGTTTGAAATTTTGAAAAAAGTACACCATTATCTTCACCTATGCCCACCCCTCTTAGAAGTAGGACTTTCAGATTACTTAAGAGTTGATCCTTCTGAGGATTTTAATTTTAATTAAATTTTAATTTGCCATTCTGTCCTTCATAGTAGCTCCTAGGTTAAATTTGACTTAATTATAAGCACATATGAACATAGGGTAATAATCTTCGAAAATAAACTCCACTCTTACAGTAACTAAAACATGTTAGTCATAGAAGACCCATTGCAGTAAAGAGGCTGAAGAGTCTTTAAGGTAAGGTAGACCAAGAAATAATAAAGCATAATAGTAATTTGTCCATGCAAATCAACAACTGTAGCTTCAAAAATATCCTGACCCACAATAAATATTGGACAGGCTATGTTGCTCTCAGGAAAAAAAGAAAAAAAAAAACTGGCCTAGAAAGGAGCATGAAAGCTCCACAGCTCTCTCAAGGCTCATTAGTCTCCATCCCTCCATGCGAACAGTTCTGTCAGACAACAGTGAAAGACCATTTGTCAACCTCTCTCCAACTCCCTGATTGTAGCCAACTGTCACCAATCTCAAGTGAGAAACCAGAAACTCTCATATCTCCAGCATCACTGTGCTAAAGTTGAAAATCATAATTCCACCACCCACCCCAACACCACGGGTCCATTTCTCCCAATTGCTTTTGGTTATTTTTTGGGAAATCCTTTCTCCATTCCTGAAACGCGGAGGCAGAATTATAACATATAAAGGTGACTTATGGATAATCCAAAAGGGTTTGTTTGTTTGAATGAGAAAATAAAAAGGAAAGTGTTGGGAAGGAGAATTACCCAAATGTCAGGTAATTGTTTAGTTTTAAGTTGAAATATGTTCGCACTCATTTATGCATCTGCAAAAGGGATTTCCCTTAACCAAAAGTTCCATGTGTGGGGGTCTGGTTGCACTGACGAGATGGAAATTACTTTTTTAGACAATGTCTCCCACAGATAATTCAGAGACCCGTGAGATTAGGTATCCCTCTCATAGACATCCTTGAGATGCTGCTAGACTTTGGAAAGAGGAATTTGGGATATGGAGATGTGCCAAAAGGTGCTTCTAGTTGTAGGATAGAGAAGAAAGGGGCAGAAGGAGAAACATCTGAGAAATCTGCGGTCTGAACATTCAGATCGCAAAAGAAGACTGCAAAAGGTCGTGGGAGAAGGGAGAGAAAATGAGGACGAAAACTGAAAGAGGAAGAGGCCCGAAATGTTGTCAAATGCCAAAAAGCATCTCGGAGTGAAGTTGGGAATTGGTTTAAGAAAACCACTGCAAATCTCATTTCAGACCATTTAGAGACATGCCTCCTGGGAACTGAGAGTTCAAGCTGTTTAGCATCAAATTGATCTACCCCATCCCTGCCCTAATCAAATAAATCATTCAGCAATCCCACTGAGTTAAGGAACCAATATTATCTAAAACCTTCAGGGTCAACTCTTGCCAAATATGTCAGGGATCAAAACTGGTGTGTGCATGTGTGTGTGTGTGTGTGCGCGCGCGCGCGCGCGCGCGCGTGTGTGTGTGTGTGTGTGTGTGCGCGCGCGTGCACCGGCGTTCTAAGACAACACTTAAATTTGGCGGAGCTGAAAGAGGAGGGGAAGGGGAGGAGGACGATGGGGGGAGGGAGGGTAATTGGTGAGACCACACCTACGGTGCATTTTACAAGAGTACACCAAGAGTACACGTTAAATTTATTAAGTGTAGAATAGAAATGTCTTAACACAATAAGAAAATGCGGTGAAGGCTGTTAACCAGTTTGATGAAAATATTTCAAATGGTATATAAAACCAGCACATTGTACCGCAAGATTACCTTAATGTACACAGCTGTGATATAATAAAAAATAAATGAATAAATTTGGCAGAGCTAAGATTTAGGGGGCTTGAGGATTATCGCAGAAAGGACAGAGAAAGGGAGGAAAACTACGTAGGAAGCTGATGAAAGAGGTCTGTGCGGGGAAGGTGGGCAGCAAAACGCAGTGGGAACAATATTTAAAACCAGGAGCAGCTGAAAAGGACTGAGGAGAAGAATACCGAAAAGAAAAATGAGCAGGTGTGAGACCTGGCCAGGGTCAAAGAAGGTTCAAGGCGTCTGCAGGGGCTCAATGAAGAGCAGGGGGCCCCCTCGAGGCTTATCGGGGCTGTGGGTGCTAATGGAACCCGGGTGTTCGGGAAGCGCTGGGGCTGCTGCGAGCGCAGGGTGGGCTGGAGGTACCCTGGAGGGAGAGGACTGGAAGGGGAGTTAAAGGGCGAGGACAGGAGCGGGGCGGCATGGTAAGAAGCCGGGGCATCTGGGTCACTCACCCCGTTGGCCGCGGCCATCTGCACCACGATCTCCGTGGCTGTCTTGCTGAAGTACCTGCCATCGCTGCCCACCACCATGGTGCAGCCCTGGCGATCACGCAGGTCGATGGACGACAGCACGCTCTGGATGAAGTTGGGCAGGTAGTTCCGCTGACCCTCGAAGAGGCTGGTGGGCCGCCGCAGCCCCCCGCCGCCGGCCGGCCGCTGGTCCTCGTAGGGCGCCGTGGGCACCGTCAACACTGGAATGGGGCTGCCCTCCATGGCGCCTCCTGGCCGGTCCTGTCGTGGCTCCCGGAGCCGGAGGGAATCTGCAGCCCGCCGAGGCCCCCCACCAGCCTGGCGGCGCGCCGGGGCTCCGCCTCGCCCGGGCCCCCTCCGCGGCCGCCGGCGCCCTGCGCCCTGCGCCCTCCCGCGGCACCGCCCGTTTCTCCTCGCGGTGCGTTCCCTCGCTTCTTCAGCAGAGTTTGGCCTCCACCTTATCAAGTGTCCTCCCAACCAACTCCGCGGTGGGATTGCCCGGAGTGTCCTCAGTTTCTTCCCCTACTTACATTCACTTTAGGGGTGTCCCAAAAGCCCAGCACCAGCCACCCAGACCCTGCGCCTGGCCCCAGCCTCCCCTGGCGATCGCTGCCCTCCCAGGCACACCCTCCGCAGAAAATAGCCTAGGGGTGGTGAGAAGTCGGAGCAAGTTGGGGTTCCTCTCTCGCACCCCTGCCCTCTCGCCTCTCACCGGCAGCCCTCTCTCCCGGTCTCCCAGGGAGTGAGCAGCTTATGCGCACAAGTTTCTCTTTTGAACAAGGGCAAGGAAGGAGTTGGGAGGGGGCTGAAAACTTTTGCCATCAGCGAACAGCCCTAGCCAAAAATAACCCTGGAAAGGCGAGCTGAGAATTGTTATCTCCTGCCAGCGCTGAAATTGGAGGCTGGTCGCTGCGTGTGTGTCTGTGTGTACACACTCCCACCACGACCATTTGTTGCGGGGAATCACACACTGTCAGGCCCTTCAATCCAGCAGGACCTACCTCAGTAGCCATCCATGCTTTCCCTCAGCCTCTCCCAAGGCAGCGCTTTGCAGTATGGAAACTTTTTTTTTTTTTTGCTTGTTTGTTTGTTGTGGCGATTGGGACAGAGCAGCACAGATGACACTATTTCCTTATTCTTACTCTTCCCACCCTCCCTGCCCAGCTCGTGCTTAGAAATAGGCTGTCCCACACTGCTGAACTCTCCTCCGGATTAATCGCGTTTGATAGGAGGCTAAAGTCCTTGATAATATCCTACCAGAAATGAATGAACAGAGCCAGATTAAACAAGAATGGGTACCAGGTCCCTTAACAGAATGATCATCTGCTCTTTCTGCAGGGTCTAGGGATTTTCTGCCTTCTCTCCATAAAGCCCACTTACAATCCAAAAACCAAGAAATGCTCCATAGAAAACAGGAGTGAAGAGAGAGCAGCGAGAGCGACTAGTAAGATAAAACCCACAGGAGGAAGAAATGTTTCTCATCTTCGCTTCTATCTCCTAACACTCTTCAGGTATTTTTGCACCCACTAAGGCTGCTGTCCTGAAATCTGGGTCCACTTCCTGGGAGTGTTTAATCATAGCAAGATAAATGTGAGCAAAACTCACACTTATACATTATTTTGCAATTGATAAAAGGCTTTGTGTCTGTTTTTTACTTCAGAGACTGAAAAAAAAATAAGAATGGTATTTATATTGTCCCCATTTTACAGATGAGAAAAGAGGTCAAGGAGGTGACTGACATGCCACTTGCAGCCTGTCCAAGTTCTTGTATTGCCCCTCCCCTTTTTGTGAATATCATTTAAGTGTGAAAAGGAAAGAGTTAAATCATCAACTGAGAGCTGCTGGGACTTCTTAGTTATTCTCTTCAGCAGCAAATAATGTTCTGTTTCGTTTTTTGAGGGGATGGGAGGAATGGAGAGAAGCTGGCAGGGATACACAATTTTAATTAGATAGAAGGAATATATGTGTTGAGATCTACCGCACAGCAAGGCACCCACAGTTAATAATAATGTATTATATACTTCAAGATTACTGAGAGAGTACATTTTACATGCTTACAATACCTACCACCAAAAAAAGGATATTTGAGCTGATAAGTGTTATCTTGATTTAATCATTTCACAATGTATACATGTATTGTGACATCACACTGTACCCCATAAATATGTGCAATGACAACTTGTCAATTAACAATTTTAAAAAAGAATGGTTGGGCCAAGCATAGTGACTCATGCCTGTAATCCTAGCACTTTGGGAGCCAAGGTAAAAGAACTGCTTGAGCCCAGGAGTTTAAGACCAGGCTGAGCAGCATATGATAGTGATACCGGAATTTCATCTTCAGTAGGTCCTTGGTCTGGGTTCCAAGAATGAATTCATGGACCACAGATCAGTGGTAAGACAGGATTTATTTACAGAAAAGAATACAAAAACAACAAACTCCTGGCAGGATATATATACACATATATATGTATGGTTACATGGGTCCTCTGTAGTTACATTTAGCGCGACTACATTTAGCATGCTTGGGGCTTCTGTAGTTTTATTTAGTGGGACTCAGTAATTACATTTAGCATGCAAGGGTCCTCTGTAGTTACATTTAGCCGGACTCCATATCAAATAAATGGCTACAATTCCTTTCATTCCCAGGCCTAGGAAACTTACATAAAATTGACCAGGCCTAGGAAATGAGGTGGGGGTTTCCCTGTTCAGCTGAAAATTCAAGGGGAGGTAGACCTAAGATGCTGGTGTCTCCCCCAGCAGTTGTCTAGCCCCTCTGGCTCCTGGAGCCTCCAGTGGGGCCCCCTCTTGCCTACCCTCCAACCTGCTGATTCCTCTGTGAGCGGCCAGGGCACCATCACCACCAAGGTGGAAGTGGCAGGTCTGCCCCTCAACTCCACCCAGCTGGCTGGGGCTCCACCTGTCCTATATCAATAGTAGTACCAGCCTGTAGTCCCAGCTACTCTGGAGGCTGAAACAGGAGGATTGCTTAAGTCCAGGAGTCTGAGGTTCAGTGAGCTATGATACCACTGCATTTTAGCCCTGGCAACATTTTTGCCCTGTCTCAAAAAAAAAAAAAAATGGTTGAGGGTTTGGGGGAGGTTTTTCTTACTTGTTTTCCTCTACTTAAGGATCTCTGCACATCTCTATGGTATGAGTTTTGTTTTTGTTTTTGTTTTTCCCCCAGTCTGTTTCTAATGACATTTCATTTTGCAAAGCAGGGCAGTGTCATTCCCAGAAGATCAGGTGTGGTAAGTCCTTTGCCTCAGTAACAAAAACAAGAATGCAACCCCCAAGCCAAGATGACCAGAAGCCCTCCAGGACTCCATCTCTCCACTTTCAGCACCTACCTCTCTCATTGGTGATAACTCCATCATTCTCTCCCCTACCTCAGTCCACTCCTTTCACAGACCCAGGAACAAAGCCTTGACATCTCAGTTTAGATATTATAGCTTTACCATCCAAGAGGAAATCCTCCTCCCTTGGTTCTAATTACAAAATTCCCAAAGACTCTAATCAATCCAGTTTGAGGCAGCATGCCCAAACATATAGCCAGGACCTCACAGTAAAAAAGAAAATGACTTCTCCCCAGAAAGGGGGTGCTGACCTCTGATGGGAGGAGACATGGGCTACCAGCCAGAATTCTCCAGCACATACTTCACACCCACTTCATCAAGTCTTTTGAAAACTATTTTTCTTTTCTCTGAATTCATATAATACCTTATATCATTCATAAGTTTTCACAGCTGATACACATTTCTGTGTATGTTTATACACGTTTTCTCTCCTCTAGCTATATGTATTTTGGAATAATTCCTTAACCTTTCCTAACCTCAATGTCCTCACAGTGAAATTAGGATTATGACAATCCTGACCTCATAAATTGTCAGGAGGATTAAAATATTTAGTAAAATGCCTGACAAATAAAAAAGCATTTGGTAAACGTTAGCTGTTTATGTAATTGCCATCAATATCATATGTCCCATTATTATTACTCTCCTGTATTGCAAGAATTATGGCTTATATCTTTGTAGACTGCCTCTCACCTGAAGTATCTTTGGGCACAAGTCATACTATACAAAGGCTGATTGAATTTATCTATAGTTTTTGACTATGGAAACTCAAAATATATGGAGTAAATTTCCCTTGATGTATACAAAAAGGGTTCGCCTGCCAAATAAATCTCTTCAAAGCTATCCCCAAATTTGATCAAGTTCATTTCAATGAATTTGTCACAGTGATGGAGAAAGGAAATTGACAGGACCCCACAGTTGCTGGTAAAATGAGACGGTTGGATTAGATGAGCAATTCCCCAGAGTGTTTTCCTCAGAACACCAGTGCCTCCCAAATCCTGTACAAAGCAAGAATTTCACGGCCAAGTAAACTTTTTAAAATCCTATACACTCTACCCCATTCTTGGAGCTGCACAGTGCACATTTTCATATTAAAAGCTCTAAGAGGTCTTGGAGAAAAGACATCAGTTAAATTGTTTCACCTGGTGCTTCCCAATCTAAACCCACAGGACCAGTTTTCTTAGTGAAAGCAAATCACACTAGCTTTGTAACCACAGCTGATGAAACCCCCCTACCCCTCCGCCGCCCCCACCCCCACCTCACCCCTGCCGCCCCTTATATGACCTCAGTAGATCAGGTCAGAGATGAATACATTTTCCAGATTCTAAGGACAGGTCACTCCCTTGCACTGAGCTCAGAGCTTCTCTGCCGCACGGTTCACAATGAATGGTAGCACTGTTGGCCAGAAGATGCCTTCTAGCCTTCTCTGGGCCTTTAGAGAAAGACATCACACTGAGAAGAAGTTGCACTGAGGCACTGCACTGCCAAGGCATGAAACAGGAGCAACTGATGTATCCTTCCTTCCCCTGGATTCCCTTGCTCTCACAAAGGAAAGCATCAGCCACCACCTTCATGTACAGAATATACCAGCTGGCTCAGCTAGACTGGCATTTCCTGAAATGAGAATCCAGGGAATAAGATGTCAAAATACCTTATTCCTTTTCCACTTCTAGATTCACAAAGCTTGCAAGCATATTAAAGACTCTGTGAAGCTATAACCCAATTATAGCCCAAGAATACGGGAAAAGGGGAGAGGGAGGGGAGGGGAGGGGGAAGGATAGGTGGTGGGAGGGTGATTGGTGGGATCCCACCTATGGTTCATCTTATAAGGGTACATGTGAATCTTTCTAAATGTAGAATATAAATGTCTTAACACAATAACTAAGAAAATGACATGAAGGCTATGTTAACCAGTTTGATGAAAGTATTTCAAATTGTATATAAAACCAGCACACAGAACCCCGTGACAGTATTAATGTACACAGCTTTGATTTAATAAAAAAATAAAGACTCTGTGAAGTTCTGCAAGGAAGAAATTTATTTAACTTGGGTGGTGCCTGTGGCTCAGTGAGTAG